TTTTACAGGCTCCTGAAATTCACTGGCACTGTATCTAAGAGGTTAAGTAGTTCTGTAATGCCGTTGTGATGCTTTTACTGTCTTGGGATCAGAGAGGGTCAGAAGGTACTGCCCACAGCTGGTGAGGGTGGAAAAGCTGAGGATGGAGTGCCTCAACCAGTTCTGCACTTGTTACAGTGCTAGACTTAGGTGGTTGTGGTGCCTGTGGTTGCTCAGGCATATCTGTCTCTCCTTCCAGGCATGTCAGGTGCTATGCAGAAGTTCAGTGCCAATATTGGCACAGTGTGTGCTGCCATTTGAAAGAAGTAGTTCAGGTGCAGAGAACTCATATTAACGTTACAACGAAGCCCAGTCTTGTTGACCTGTAAAGACAGAGAGACAGGAGAGTGGGAAACATCAACAGCTTAGATCTCATGACTCTCTCATGCCCGTGTATCTATCTGACCCGTCTTCTTAAGTAAAAGTTGTTGCTTCTATCTCTTTATCCTCTCATGTTAGATTACATCTTGTTCTGTTTCCTTTGTCTTCTGTTCTTCTTATGCAGTCTGCCCTTTATTTGTAGGGCTTTCCTGCTTGGAAAGAAAGACATGGGAAGGTGCAAATATTGGAAAGTTATGTATTAAAAGTTTAGTAATATGCTTTACCTGTGTTGTTTATGCACATGGTTTGGGAAGAGCTGGTATCTCTTCTGTGCAGCATCTGGTCTTACTGACTGCCTACTATAAGTGGGCATATACATTTACACTCTGCTAGGTGCTCTGCAGTAGCTTTTGGTGCTAATGAGCTTACAAAAATAATTCTCATCTTAATAAATGTGCAGTTTGATTTGTGGATTGTCGTGTGTTTAAACAGGTATTTGAATAATTGTATTGACATTTACATATCTGTAATTTGATTTTAATTTCCTTTACTTTGTATTGCATGAGAAATAGCTTTTTTTAATTTGTTGGTGAGTCTTTGGGTATTATGTAGCTGCCTGATGACACTTAACAAACGTGTTACTAAATAGGATGTGTTTTGTAGATACAAAAATGTTCATAGTCCTTCAGCTACCTGGTATTGTTAACTTGAGTGTTTGTAAATCTCACCTGTTCTGATGACTTGCACGCTGAGGCTGTGGCTGTACAATCTTTTAATCTGGCATAGCTCTGTTCCGCTGTAAATTTTTCATTCTCTTCTCTCTGGTTCTTTCTTTTCTTTTGTTGATGACAGTGTTCTTGTCCCTGCTTAGACATCCAAGTGGAGGATCTGAACTGCCTGAAAACTAAGTGTGCGTGTTGTGGTGGTGGTTTATCAGTTGTTCAGTTTAGTTATTACAGTGTGTGCTGTGGGTGTGGTTTATGTGTATGTTGAAGGGCGGGGTTTTTTTTTGCCCCAGAGCAGAGTGTAGTATACCACGTCTCACTTCAATCATTTTAGGACTGTGGCACTTCCAAAATGGGCAGTCCTGTCTTCTCCCTGTGGCCAATGCTCACATTCCTTCCTGTATATTGGCATTACTGGTCATGTGGCTGTGATGTGAGTTGGACCTACCTTTGCTCTGAGTCAAAGCAGCGCAGTGCTGGTTCCCAGTAGGTTCAAAAAGTTTGATGATTGTTGCTGATGCAAGAGAAGAAAGAAAGCACATCTGGATACAGTGGCTGGTAACTAGCTGCTTGGATTTGGATCACCTTTGACCGAGTGTGAAACTGCCTCCTGAGTTCTAGCTGGTCTAGTGTTGATGCAGCTGTGTGGTAGCCGTGCACGCTAGGAGTGGCAAGTGCAAGGAGGTGTCCAGCTAGCCCGTGGCAGTAGCCTCGCTGCATGGGAGGTTGAAAGTGTCCGTGTAACCATGACCCCAGGGATAAGTCAGCTTGCTGAACCTGCTCACCTCTTCTGAAGTGCCAAAACGGACATTTCTATAGGCTATATGTTATTACATTTCCATATCTAATAACAATAAATATTGTGTATTTATTAACATAGGTATCTTGTGCAAGGTGGGTGTTGGATGATTTAATGGTTGCTTGCTGTGGATTCTACCCAAATCTTTGTGTTTGCTCTGGTACAAACATCTTGATCAGGGCTTTTGCTCTTTTTTTTTTTTTTTTTTCCAAAATTACTGTTACTGAAGCTAGACTGTCCTGAAATCCTTTAAAACAAAATAAGCAAAAAGAATGAAAGAATGCAAGTTTATTTTAAAAACAATAGATTATTTAAGCATATCCTTCAAACTCATTTTTTAATGTTTATTTAGATATTTTATCAAAATGAATCTAAATGTTAATGAAACATGCTTCTATTTATCTTGTGTAACATGATGGAAATGGCAGTTCTGATATTACTTTCACAAGAAAATTAGATGTTCGTACTTGCATCACAATCCTAAAAGCTACAGTTTTTATGCGTATGAATAATTTTTGCAGGTGTCTGGTAAAGAGCTGATAGAGTTCTGCATGAGTGAAGATACTGAGCTATACTGCTTTGTGGCAGCTAGCTTCCAAGGTGATGCAATGGACTTCTAAGATGTTGAAATTAAGAAGTGCTTGTAATTGTATTGGGGGGAGGAGGAGAATCTTTAGGAATGTTTATAACTGAACTTTTTTAAACATGGGATTTTTTTTAACCACATACTGATACTCAAGATTCTCATTGCCCATTTATACTTCAGGCAATTTCCACAAGACTTACGGCTGTGAGTCTGCTTTGCTCTTTTGTATTAGAAGTGAGACCAGGGCTGTTCTGTTAGTTTTGGTTTCAAGCAGAATCTTCTCCTGTTTTGTTTTCCCTATTCCCCTTTTGGCCTTGTAAGAAAAAAACCTGAAAACAGCCAATTTAAAATGAAGATGAGGCTCATATTGGTTTTTTTAAGGAACTACTTCAAAGACTGGGAATAACTGGGAAGAAGATAATGAGTTCTGACTAGGAAGGCTGTGTGTTTTCTTGGAATATGGAATGCATGAAGAATTACTCATTCTTCTTTTTTCCCAAGTCCTTGTATATCATTCTTCCACCTGTCCTTTTTTCAGGGTCTCTCTCTAACCCCTCTGTTTGTCACTCATTCTGTGTAGCTTTTGTCTTATTTCTTTCTGCTATATGTCCGTGAATGACCCACATACAGTAGTGGAATACATAAATGATTTAACATTAATAAATTAACATTAATATATGTTAAGTCTCTGTTGGGGGAGAAAGAAGGGACTTGAACATGCAGATACTGTGACCTCCATGCTTTCTGTTTGTGTTACCGGTCATTAGCCTAATTGAAGCTCGGACTAAAGTGTTAATGTGTCGTAAGAGCTATGGCTGGATCTGCTGGGTGAACTTTGCTTCTGCCTGATATATTTGGACTGTGCAATCTTAAATAGACCCCACACTAAAACAAGGAGTTTATCCTCAAACTACTCCTGAGCATATGCTTAAAATTAATCTGGGTGAATGACAGGTGAGCTGACTTGAGAGCAAACTCAGGACTTGTTTGACCGGGTATGTACAAAAAAATCAAGACAAAAATCTGTATTCAGTTGCATGAATGGAGGTTCTAGCAAGGAGGCTTCATAATTTTTATGTTTCCAGCCTGATGAGGAGGTGCTGGATGCATTGTGGCGTGCATGTAAGATTTACCATGTATCCCCAGCTGACTTGGAAGGAACTTTTTTTTTTTTCTTTCTGCATATAGCTAGAACTTCCCTTGCTGTCTGAGGATGCTTTGGGTTTGTAACAGGATGTTAAAGAATATAACTGCAGATTGTAACTGCATCGATTCATGTGTAAAAGCTTGTCTCTCCATGGCGTTATTATTTAGTAGGTGCCACTGACTGTACCTACAGATAGATGCTTTTACTATAGAAATACTTCTCTGTAGCATTTCTAAGTACCACTGAAAAAGCATTGGTCAGATAATGAAGTGCATTCATACAGGAATAGACATGTGCACATGGTATTAACTAGGAATAGCTGTTTCTGTTTAAATTTGTGTTCTTCCTTGCATTTGAAAATTGATTAGTTTCAGATAAATTTTTTGTTCTTGCCTTCCTTGGCCAAGGAAGTGCAAAATTCAGAATAAGTGAAACAGGATTTGAAGGTTGTGGTCTGCAGACCTGCAAGGTATATGGGCTGTAGACACAGATGCCTCTTGTAGTTTTGGCTGAATATTAGGAGTTGAATATGGTGGCAGTGGTTAAGAAATTATTGGTTTTGTCTATGCAGTAATTATGAACATATTTGCTTTTCAACTCGTCTATGTTATGGACAGTTCAAAGGTTGATACATCACTACATGGTGATACATCATACAAATAGCCATGTCTAGCAGAGAGTGCGAGGCTAGGCAGTACACAGCGTTGACACTTTCTTCACACAGCTGGATTTCAGAGGCTTGCTCTATGGGTCAAGGAGTCTGTACAGGAAAGTAGATAATGATGTCGCATCCCTGGAGGTGTTCAAGGCCAGGCTGGATGAGGTTTTGAGCAACCTGGTCTAGTGGAAGGTGTCCCTGCCCATGGCAGGGGGGTTGGAACTTGATGATCTTTGAGGTCCTTTCCAACCCAAACCATTCTGTGGTTCTATGATATGATGTGGTTCTACTGCTGATAACTGCAGTTGCATGTATATTCTGAGGAGAGAGTAGACTCAGTGGTATGTTGTGAAGAGAGCCTGCCCTTGGGAAGATATTTCTTAAACGCTTTTGTTTGTCGGTAGTGCTGGAAGTACTGTGTTAAATGTGTGTTTGAACTAGACTGATACAGGTTCCCTGACCCACGGTTTCTCAACCTGAGGTCCATGCTTATAGTTGGAAACCAGGAAGGCGTGTGGTCCTGTCTAGTTAGGGCAAAGACACACAAGCTTGAGTAGATGGTTTAACTCCTCTTTATATTTATGAAATTAGGATGATATGAAATTGTCATGTTAACAGATGCTGTAAGGATGAGTTAATTAAGTTTGATCACTGCAAGGGTGTTAGCATGACTTACAACACAACTGTAAGTCCTGTTACTGATTTTTATTTCCTTTAAGGTATGTTTTGACTGTGGAGCGAAAAACCCTAGCTGGGCAAGCATAACATATGGAGTTTTTCTCTGTATTGATTGTTCAGGGACCCATCGATCACTCGGTGTTCATTTGAGTTTCATTCGGTAAGTAGTTTGTATATTTTTATAGTAAAAATTGCATCTTTTAATGTTTTTTTGTTTGTTTGTTCAGATACCTGCTTAGAGAGGAAAACCCATTCTTCTCTCAGCTACTGATTCAAACCTTTTTAATGTTTGTATCGGCTTTGATGTATCTGATGGCTGCTTGGGAATTAGGTAAATAGGAAGGATTCTGTAGAATTTGTGCCATACACTTATTCCCATTACCTGCTTGTTGCGTTAGTCGTGCACACTTGTTGGCAGATTTGTTTCTACACATGATGAAAAGAATAAGCATGCTGAAGTGTTTTATCACTTCTCCAAATCAAGTCTGAGGCAAATGTTAGCTTATTATCTTCAACAGCGTTACAGTGTGTTGCTTGTAGAGATAACCTGGCCTCCAGCAAGCCAGTTTAGGCAGCTAAATAGCATTTTGCCAGTTTTGCTTCTTGAAGTAGTTCATCATGGTGTCACCTGAGTGCTAGTGCTGGGATAGTGCAAAGGGCTACCCCTTTTGGCAGCTGTTTAGCTCAGTCAGTCGGTGCAGGAAATCTGAACCCCCACCTTGTCACATTGCAGGTGAGTATCCTCAGTCGCGGACCTTTTTTGGCCTAATAAATAATGACATATTTGAAATGTAAGGCTCTGCTTGGAGTGAGAGAGAGCAGTGCATCCAAGAATAGATTGCAGATAAAAGCAGACATTTTCCATCAACTGAAATTCTTCCTATGCTGCCTTTTCACTGTATATAAGAGCATTACAAGAGGCTTCTCAAGACTCCATTCCTAATGATCGCAGTATTAATTCTCCTCATACTCACTGAGCCCCAATTTTTTGTTGTGATAGGACATTGGAGTTGTCACTTTGTCCATTACATGTGCTTCTCATCTACTGTTGACAGAGTTCAAGTGTGATTCCTGAAAATGTGTCTTATTGATGCTTTTTAAAAGGGAAAACCTGTCAGCAAGAGGGTGCATTTTTTTAAAGCTTTTACAGTTTGAAAAACATTGGTGGTTCTACATGGCTTTATTAGTTTGTTTTGCACATTGTGTTTTGTCGCATATTTTTTTTCTATAGATGGGTGTTTTTCACTTGACAAAAAAAAGGGGGAGAGAGAAACACTTTACAGAAAAAAAAGTAGAGAGATTTTAAACGGCTTTGGAGATAACATTAAAAATGTTTCCTTCTGTTTAGATCTACAGAACTGGATTCCAATTGGTCTTGGTTTCAGCTGAGATGCATGCAGGTTGGAGGAAATGCAAATGCTGTATGTACTCCTGAGTATTTGCTTTGCACATTGAAGCTTGTTACGCTTGGAAGCTATTGTCTGTCCTTATTGGCTCTCACCTTGGGGAGATTTTTGTTTTTCCAATTCATTTCTCTCTCTTTTTTTTTTTTTTCTCTTGTTTTTAAGAATTCCTTTGGATGCTGATTCCTCCATATTTCTTGGAACTTTTCCATCTTCATATAATCTGCAATTGTTTTATTTTTTCTTACAAGTCATTAATAAAAATCACTGAAGAGACCAGATCAGATTCCATGTCAATACCTGTCTAATTTAACAGGGAAACATTGACAGCTGCTAAAATACAGCTTTCCAACAGATTGTAAACCTAGTTTATGGGCATCATCTTGTGACCATATTTCCTTACATGGTTTATGAAAATATCATAACAAAAATCGTGTCACTGTCCAAAGTCACACTGAAGTCAAGATATGACTTATAGCTGAGGTACAGCTGTCAGAGGAAATAGCCATGTTTTGGTTTGGGCCAATTCATATTGGCTGTTACTCTCAACTTGGTTTTTTAATGTGCTTACAAGTTTGTTACACAATATTTTTGTAAATTGAAGTTATGTTGACTGCTGTATTGTTTTCAATCTTTTTAAATGAGGATGTTTTCCTTTGTCAACTCCTTTGGAATCTTGCCTGTTTTCCCATGTTTTGTCAAAGATTGACTGCCAGTAATGGAGATTGCTTCTCTAAGTTGACCCACCCAGTGTGAAAACATGGAACTTCCCTAAGCAATTTCTACTTTTCTTCTAATTTCCTCAGTGCTTACCCCGTTCTTCATTTATGCTTTGTCCTTAGTGTTGTTTCTTTAAGAAACTTAATCCAAACTTGCTTTCCATAAGCTTTTTCTTAACAATCTTTCTAACACTTTAATATTCTGCTGGTTTTTTTTCTACTTTTTTCCCTATTTCCATAGAAAAAAATGATGAATTCAGGATCATTATTTTTTATCTTCCACTTCTGCATTTTCCAGTCAAACCTTTTTCTTTGAATTAGGCATTCATCAGTCACTCTCTTACACGGGTTTACAAGTCTGAGAAGGTGCATGGTGTCTTCTCCCTCTTTTTCTTTTGCCTATCCTTTCTGAGTTACACCTTTCTTTATTAATACTGATGTTATATGAATTTACTCATCAAGTTTCTGTTATGCCACTTACTACCTAAAAATCAGTTTTTGACTAATCAGAAGAGGGAGATTTTGCATGAAAAATATTTTCATTTTTAGCCAAAGGCTTAAATGCTTCAGTTAAACTATATAAACTTCACTATACAAAGGGTTTAAGGAAGTTGAAGAGATGGCAAAGCTTGAAAAGTACTTCAGTTTGTCTTAGAAAGCAAATTACCAGAAGAATAACAGTAAACATTTATTATTTAATTTTATGAATTTTTGTCTTTCTGTCGGGATGTCACTGTTTCCTATCATACGTTGTACCAAGAGATGTAACATACCCACAGCCACCCCTCAAATACTTCAAATTCACAATGGCCTGTTTTGGATTACCTAGGAATATTAATACCTGAAACTTTAAAGACTGGTTCAGTAAACTGGACACTTTAAAAAGTAAAATTAACTAATTACATTAAAAAAAAATTCCCTTTTTGTTACAACTAAATGCCACATGCTGTTTTTACCAACTACTGTTCAGAAGCACTGTCAGATTAACATTGGTCATTTGTATTCTGTAATTGCCTGATGCTGAATGTTGGATAAAAGTAGTCCTGAGCTTCGTAGCTATGTATCAGATTCCTAGAAAATCTGAAGTGTTCTTAGTTCCTTTTGTTTTCAGAATAAATCTCTACAATTATTGGAATTAGGGTTTACAAAAAAAGCTCTGAATATTGAGTTCCCAGGTGTATATATTTAAATGCAAAAATGCACAATCTTTTTGGCATCTGTGGTGTTTACGACTGTTTCTGTTATCACAGAAGATGACTGGCATTCTTTCTCTCCTGCATGGTGGGTGCTTAATTTTTATGCGAAGTCTGGTGCTTGTATGCTAGATTTGTGCTTTGCAGTTGCAGCATATGAGGTGATAACCTTTGGTTATCTAGACTTGCTGATCCTATCAGAAACTTGTTTACTGTGTTTTACTGTAATAGTCTGACGTGTTCTGTGAAAGAATGTGTGAAAAGATTTGCTAGTCAATTCTAGGTACAGAGAATTTTGTTTTTCGATCTTTCAAACAGCTTGTGGAGCTCTGATATAAATGTATTGATTTGCTTTTGTTTTAAGATCCTAAATAGGAATAAAATTTTTCATTTACATATGAATATTTTTATATAAATAAAGCATATAAATATATATGGGTACATATATGTGCATAGACATACTTTTCTTTTGAAGGAAGACTGTTTTTATAGAGTCAGTTTGATGTTATTGACCTACATTGTTCTCTCTAGCATGCTAGAGATTAAACCAAGCAATGCCTTTTAGAGTATCAGAAATGTCCTTTGAAGGACAAGTATTGGCAATTAATTTTACCTCTTCCCTTCTACACTTAATTTCAGAACTAGGATTCTTCGTGTACGATGGCAGGCTTGCATTTATATATGCTTTTAAAACATCCCACTAATGTTTTTGTTTTTTCTGTTCTTTTATGTAAAGAGTTTGCCAGAATGGAGTTTTCTTTTTATTTTGGAGATTTACATAGACTTCATAATTTAAAAGATTAGATTGAGGTAGAGGAGCACGGTACTTTGCTGTATTGCGATGTATTTTTATGTTTAAATGGCATTTGTTTTTAAACCTGTTTCTCATAGCATTTTCTGTGTTCTGCTTCATAGTCTGCTTTTTTCCATCAACATGGATGCACAACAAATGATACCAATGCGAAGTATAACAGTCGTGGTGCTCAGCTTTACAAGGAGAAGATTAAATCTCTTGCAACACAGGCAACAAGAAAGCATGGTACTGATGTGAGTACCTGTGTCGTTAAGATTTCTGAAAAACTTGATCTTCTTTCCCTCTAGAACAGTTTAAAGTTTCTCATTAGTAATGCAAAAGATTAATTCCTGTCTTTGGAAGGTGTTAATACACATTGAAGTGAATAGGAAAGCCGCAGAGGAATTTGTAGCTTACCTGTTTTGTTTGGAAAAAGAATATTGAGATAGAGCTCAACTGGGTATTTCAGCAGAATTTCTGGGTTATTGAAAACATTAATTTAAACATTTTAAAACTTATAGGAGTTGTAGGCAGAAACTTAAGGTATTCTTCAAAACTGGAACTTCTTTGTTTGCAGGTGTGCCCCAAAATTATGTTAGTGGTATTGCATAACAAAAATGTCAGCACTTCTCCATGAACTATCTCGTGTTTTTATTTTTGCTTATTTGGAACGGAATTATTATTATTATTATTGAGAAGTACAGCATGTAAAAGTGCTAATAAAATCAACTAAAAAATATTAGTGATTTAAGTGGGATTTGATTTGAACAGGTAAATGTGTGGTTTTGCTTTTTTCCCTATGGAAATAATATTTGAAAAATTACTGAGTTATGTATGTCCTGCATTTGCTGTTCTCCATTAAAAATGCTGAAACAGTTCATGCATGCTGTCAAAACATTGTTAGGTTGCTGACAGGAAGAAGTTATTAGCAAAGTATGCAGAATTAGTTTGCTGAGCTGTTAAATAAGTTTGACAACCGTTCTCTTCTGCGTATACAGAAAGCATGTTTTCATTGTTTAATTCAGCTTGGTAAAGTCCATGACTGATTCATTTGAAGTTGATCAGATGAGTGTGAATTAAAAGTAAGAAGGCTTGGTTTTTTTTCTGATCTAGATATCAAATAGGATGAAATTTAATGGATTATAATAGTTCTATATTATTTAAATGTAAACATGTTCAAGTAAGTGATAAATTACCATGTACATTTAAGTTGACAGTAACTTCCCCAAATGACACTTTAAAGAAGTGTGATTATCTTGTTTCAAGTACAGATTCCATCCAGTTGCATGATATTAATTACATATTTCTTATTTTAAAAATTTAGTAGATATATTTTTGGATTGTGTACTGCAAGCTTAAGTGATTATGTGCTATCTAAATGACTGAAGTCAGTTGCTCAGATAATTAGATTTAGTACCAACCATCCCCTCTCCATCACATTTTTAAAAATTTCCTCTCTAACTTGACAATAGAGGTGATTGTTGAACAACGAGGTAAGTTTGTTGCACATTCAGTAACCTTTTTGACAGACATCATTATTTTTGGTCATGTATCTTTTGCACGTAGTAGAAAGAACCATGAGAAATGAGAAATGATTTGCTCATGGGTAACCTTGGAGGGCAGATGACAGTTTATAGTCCTGTCCTGCACATGCTAAGAATGATGTGCAGCCTTGTGAGCCCTCCACTCTGCCCTGAGATCAGGCGTTGCTCAAAGCTGTTAGCATCTCGCTAACAGAGTTTGGGACTCTCAGACTAAGTGGGAATATTCATCAGAGTACCAGACCACATGGATACAATTCTGAAAACTGTTTCCAGTGACTACTAGTGTTAAGTTTTAAGGTTTTTTTTTTTTTTTGCTTTTGCTTTAGGCAAAATCAGAATATTAGAGAGAAAAATACCTTATATAAAAATATGAAAAAACTTATTTGAAATCTCTAGCGATACTAAATATTGACAGAATTACTGCAGCAGAGCTTATGCTGAGCATTTTGTTAGGAAGGAAATGGATAATGCAAAGGAACACATCAAAAATGCATGAAATTTTAAAAAAGGAATGTCATATATTGAAGCTTGAGTAAATTTATAAGGAAAAATTATGTACCAAGAAAAATAATCAATATATTTTTAGACAGAAAAAAAAAGGTAATTTTGAGATTAGTGCACTTGAAAAAATATATTAATGCAGTTGTCCTGTAAAATTCTCTCTCTCTCTTTTAATTCTAGCTGTGGACAGATGGATGTGGAATGCCACCTGTGTCACCTCAAAACAAAGAGGAAGACTTTTTTGCATCTCATGTTTCTCCCAAGGTATAGATTACCTGTATTTAATTCTTGTTAGCTTTCTGAACACTTAGGTTAACTGTGTGCTCGATGATGAAGATTAAACCCTGAAAAAAAACCTTATAGAGAAAGGATAGGTCAATGAATTAACATTTATTTGCTTTTCCTTCTGTGGGTTTCAAAATTCTTCCTGAATGTGAACCACTTTCTAAGGTGTTAATTTAGGATGCCCAAAAATAGTAGTTAAATGTGGAATTAAACTACATTTTTGTAGACATATAATTCCACTTGGACTCATGATTCCTTGTTTGGGAGGGCTCTGACGTAAATATACTGTGTGATAACTTTGTTTTTTAATCAGTAAAGTTTAACAGTTCTTAAAGCATTTGCTAAACAAAAGCTTTTCTTCTTCCTCCAAAATACTTACATACTCTTTGAAAATGTTAATCTTCTGAAGGCTATTGCTACTGTGAATTTTTGTTTATTTGATCTTAACTCCTTAAGGTGATAGATGCTGTGTTTAGTTCACAGATTAATGTTTCAGAGACTCTCTTGAGTCTGGTATTTGAAAAATAAGTGAAAACAACTTCAGCAATTGTGATCCTAAACTTAGAGCAATTAAGTTGTTACTACACCTAGTAATCCTAAATATTGCAACAATATTAAGCGTTCTAGTGTAATTGCTTTCTAGTACAGTTGCAGTCCATGAACACCTAAAACACAAGTATGATCATGAGGCATCTTTTGGGATAGAAAATAATTCAGAGCTTGGGTATATCAGATTAACCCGTGTGAAAACTCTTCAGCAGTTCATATGCATGTTAATACCCCTGTCATCACGTTGTGGTTGTGCATGTGCATTAGCAGCAACTAATGAAGACCTATGCAACTTGCATGTATCTACACCTGGATAAAGAAGATGGTAGAAATGGCATGATGTTTAGTGACTCTCTAGTGTATATGGGATGCTTCAGGATGAAAAAGCTATAATTTAAATTATTTTTTTTTCCTTTTGGTTATTCAGTTGTGACATTTCAAAATGTAACTTTTTTGTTGTATTTGTGACATTTAGAAAATGGTGCATTTTAAAGGGAAATTCAGCCTTTCTGGTATTTATTTATTTAAGGAACATACTGCAGCCAATATTTGAATGTCTTATAAATTTCATCATCTTTGAAACAGTGAAAGAGTATTTACATTTTACAGACTGGGAAGATTGCTGTGTTACTCAGAAAGGCTCATTGCAAAGACCAAAAAAATCAGTTATTGTGAATTCTAGTCTAGTGTGTCTTCATCAGAAGATCATCTGTCCGGATAGTAGAAAAATAAATGGAGTATTTCTCTTTGCAAAAGGCAACTTGGAAGAATGCTTTCAGTTGAGTGGGAAAAGCATGAACTGAGTCAAGCTAAAGAGCAGAGAAGTGTTGTAAATATTTTTGTGGTTGAGGATGAGAAGTAGGAGCTTGATACAAACCCTCCTAAGAGAATGTATGGGTAAGAGAAAGTAAATTCTCACAGCAAACTTTTCGGGTAGCTGCAAAGGCAGGAGATTAGAGACAAACAGTCCGGGTACCTCAGGACAAGAGATTATTTGGGTATGGGTGTTTTGAGAGAGATGTCAGGAAGTTTTGAGATTTAGGGAAGAATAAGCATGAATTGGCAGGGGCACAGCACTGGTTGAAAAGATAATACAAAGCTGATATTGTTGTGACCAGGACACAAACCTGCTTATTGAGGAGTATGTCTGAGGGAAGTGGGAGGACCCATCAAGGAGACTCTGGAGAACTGCTGACAGTCAAAAATTAAATGTTAGAAAATTGGATGTGCAAGAGCTCAGTGTGGGGAGGCGGCTTGGTGATTATATGTAAATAAATGATCCAGATTTTCTGTACTGTATTAGTGTTATGAGTGAAGACAATTAATAGCCAGCATACAATAAATAAATCAAAAGCCCAATTAAGATGTGTATTAGGATTTTTTTGGATGGTAGACATATTGAAATTCCTGAGAGGGAAATACAGGTGCTCAGAAGTGGTTTGAAACCAGATCGCTTTTAATAAAGGTAGACATTTCTTGGAAATTTAATAACTGCCCTTTTGAGAAAAGGTTTTAAACCTAGAAGCTGTAGTCATAATCAACTATCAGTGATGCTTAGGTAGTCTTTTAAGGTCAGTGCTTATATTTATTTGCTGTATTTTATTTAGTGTGTTCTTGGAACTTTAATAACTGCCCTTTTCAGAAAAGGTTTTAAACCTAGAAGCTGTAATCATAAGAATCCAATATTAACTAATCAGTGATGCTTAGGTAGTCTTTTAAGGTCAGTGCTTATATTTATTTGCTGTATTTTATTTAGTGTGCACTTTTGATTTTGTAATTTTTTTCAAGGCAAAGAATACAGAGTGGGTGTTGTCAAAGCCAGAGCCAGTTTCTCTACAGCAGAAAACTTCAGAAGATATTCCAGAATGCTATGAAGGTATGACTGATTCTTTGTTAACAATAAGCTCCATTTTCCTGGTAGTCTCCTTGTTTAGGCTCTTTTTACCCTACTTTAATAGTTAAATAAGCTAACCATGCCAATAACACCAGAATTTTGGAGAGGAAGGACTTCTTAGAAGGGCTATGCTAGAATGTGTGGGACTGCATGTTCCTTTAATAATGTTTACTAGAAATCCAAATTAAAAATTGTTTCAAAAGACTTCAGGTGAATCTTTGGGTGCCTGCTGCTCTTTTAGTAACCGGTAAAGCTGTGATAGAAATAACATATTATGTTCTGTGTATCAAACAGGACCCTGGGTACAGTGAGTTGTGTTGTGGGATTTTAAGCATTCTGAAGAGCCTTCTGATATTCTTACCCTTTGTTATTAATTTTAGGAGCAGAACATGGACCAAGTGTTGATTGCCTTAGTACATCACCAAAAGCTGCATTAGGTAATGAGTGTAATGAGAAGAAGATTGCAGCCAGTATAGTGTACTTAAATACTCATTTGTACAGAGAATCTGAAGAGCTTTCTGATATTCTTACCCTTCGTTATTAATTTGGTTTTAGGAGCAGAACATGGACCAAGTGTTGATTGCCTTAGTACATCACCAAAAGCTGCATTAGGTAATGAGTGTAATGAGAAGAAGATTGCAGCCAGTATAGTGTACTTAAATACTCATTTGTACAGAGAATGTATGACTGGGAAGATGTGGAATTCTTACTTTAATATCAGCGTGCCTGAGTTAGTTGAAACGTCTGAATTTGTATTACAACTTCTGTTAAACAGTGTACTCATTCTAAGAAATTAATTTTAGTCAGTATTGTTCTGGTTTTATCTATCTGATCTTAGCTGACCTGGTGAATTTAAATGCTACAAGTATCACATCTAATAAAGGTGAACATTAATGTTTTCTGCCTCCTATTAGACTGTCTTAAGTTCTGCATTTGAAGCACACAGGTGGAATGGAGCATTGTGCTGTGATTAATGGCCTGTTATTTATGTTAAGCAAACACATCTTGTACTAGTACATCAGTCTTTCTATCTACATGTAGCTTTTGCTCCTTTTTCAGAAAACTGAACATAAAAATTTAGACTGGAAAAATCTTGTATTTGTAATACAATATCTTCAGTGTCCCGAGTCTTAATCTATGTAACACTGAAGAGTGTGTCATACTATAAGTAAGTAAAAGAAAGTTGAGGAAAATAGAATAGAATAAAATACATCAGTGGTTTATAATTTTGAGGATCATCCTGCAGGAGCAGGTTTCTGAGAATAGAGTATTGGTTCTCAGCAGCACAGGACTTGTAAAGATCTGGTGTCTGGGACTAACCTAGTACTTCAGGAAGGTATGGTCTTCATCACTGTTTTTGTGTTCACTTGGTTGGGTTTGGTTTTGGTTTGTTTTGGCTTGCTTTTGAGAGATGAAGACTAGGAAAAATATTTAACCGCATACACTTTCTGGTTATCTCATTTGTATCTTTAACACATGTTCTCATAAAACAAGTGCTTTTCTTGTTTGTTTTGGACATCACAAGTTCGATCTTATGTGAAGGATCTCTGTTCTGTGTATGCATGTTTCCAACTAAATTTCAGCTCAAACCAGTTTTTCTGCATGTACAAGCATTCAATAGGAGTTGTTGATTGAAAACTTTTGATTGTGGAAGATTTACCCTGGCTCAGGGTAGCTGTCAAGAAGGCACAATACAGTGCCTTATGGAACACAGTGAATCCTGTTAGGGTCTCATTAAATGTATCAAAATTAGGAGTTGTGTCAAACTTTATGCAGAGCAGAATGTAGGTTCATTTCTGTGTTTCAAGATTTAGTACAAAGCATTAAATCTGGAACTTTCAAACTTCAGGTATAAAGCTAGACTGCCAATACTGTACGTAGGCAATTGAACAAAGCTGTTCGATCTGCTGATAGAGTATGTTGTCACCTCTGATAATGCTTGTGAGTTTGTTTATGGTGATACAGGTATATTTTATCTGTGTCATTGGTGGATTTAAACATAGCCAATACCTTTCTATCCAGGAAACAATTCATCTTGGAAATGATACGGGATCAGGTAGACCTTTAGTCTGATTCAGAATAGCAAGTCCTGCTTTCTTGTTCTGTTTACTAGCAGGTATCTACAACTGAAAACTGAGCTGTAATTTTATTCCTATAGTGTATTTGCAAGAAATACCATATCCTCAATCAGGGACAGTTTCCCACATTTTCTTGGCAATACTCACAGCCCCATGCCCTGTAACTCAGTTTAGTATCTCAGTTTCTTAGTGTAGAAACTTTAATACTTCAAGGCATTAAAATAAATTCCAGAAACGTTTTTGAGGCTGATATTGTGGAAATTATTTTCTACTGTTCTGGAATTAATAAAATTGTATGTCAAGTAATGTACATTTAATCCTTGCAGAGAACACCACCTTCATAAAAAAGAAGCCAAATCAAGCTAAGAAGGGGGTAAGTGTAAATAAATAATGTGTATTTAAAACTGCATTATAGATCTCTGGAAATATGTAGATTGCAATATGGAAATATATAATGTGAGTGCTGAGCAGTACTTGTATCAGTAACAATTTATGAAACTAAAATGGAATTGAAACCCGTTTCTATATCAAAACAGTCAACGGTCTGTTTGAAAGTGGATTCTTGTTAAGATGAATTTGTCTAACAAGTTACTGTTTTATGTAATAGAGTGCTTCAGGTCTGTGGGTTGTTTTCTGACCTCAAATAAATTATAAGTCTGTTTACATGTATGTAGCCCACTGAACTGTCTAGACTTCCACATATATATCCAAGTGTCATTTTCTTTGTGCTATCTGGTCCTGAACAGCAGGTGATCTTTTTTAAAAAATTAGTAAAACAAAAATGTCAAAGCTGTCTTGATGTCAAGGTCTATATCCCACTTCTCTTCAGTTCTTTCACAACTATTGTCCCTGCAGCTCTGCTGATGCCCTCTAACCTTTATTCTCATTTGCTGATGCTGGGTTGCAGGGCTTCTTCAGGCTTTCACCTAGGTTAGCTGGCACTGAGATCTTTTTGTAGCAAATCATGAAAACAGAGGGAGTTCCAGTAGCCCTTTTGAGTGGCTAAATATGCATGTGTGGCATAATCTGTCAATACAAGGTGAGTTTGAGACATTCAGATCTGTATTTATGGAGCAGCCCTCATCTCATACCACACAGTAGTACGGTATTTGGTTGTATTTATAGGTAACTTGCAGCTGCATTCAGTTCAAGGTAGTTTCAAGATAGTTTATAGACTTGTTTCTGGCTGGGGTCTTACCACTTTTTTAGGCATCTGTTTTCTGTGAGGAAGGCATGAGGAGAGTTGAGTATCTCAGAATGATGGTTCAAGGAGCCTGAAAACTGAGTAAGACAGTTCAAGTTAACTCAAGTTAGCTAGGAGAAGCTAGATTTTGAGTGTATGGCTCTTAAGGGCCAAGAAAATAGACCTAATATTAGGCTATTAGGGTGACAATATGTTGCAGGGAGTCACTTCTTTTAAGTCTGGGCTATTGTTGAAGATTTATTGGAGCAGGTTGATTTAGATTGAAACCCATTCTTTCTTGCTCCCACTAGAGGGCCCTAATATGCAAGAGGAATTTCTTATTCTAAGTGGTATATGCAGGTATGTTCCCTTACAGTAAGAAGAACATTAGCTGGGTTCACAGGTGCACATGCGGTTTGCGAACTGTAGCATCAGAGCCTAAAACTGTGTGTAGGCCAGAGCTTTTACATAAAGACTTTAAAGCGTTAAAATGTTAAGATGAATGTATTGTGAAAATTAATATTGCTGCAGTGTTACAGATAAGGAATTAAACACAGGAGACTAGGAACAGCAGCTTGAGTGCTGTGCCACCGTCTGAATCAGCATCATTGTATCTATTCATATTTGTAGTATTAAGTGTTTTATAAATCTTTGATAATCAGAATGAAAGAATATGTATCCCTGTATTGAAGTAATATGAACTAGAAATAGAATTATTTTAAAAGAATGAGTGCAAAACTGGAACCTCTCAGCTGATGTGTTTATCTAAAAAAATTTTACGATACTTTGTCACATGCAAAAGCTAATTGTGCATACATGTATATAGGAAACTTGTATATTGCTCTCCTATTGTAAATCAGTAAATACCTATGTACGTGTTTATTAAAAACATGAATAAATTGATACTTAGTCTTAAGATAACACACTAGCACTGTCCAGGGGGAACTAATTCAAGAATCTGTGCCACTTCTAAATGTAAATTGTGAATAAAGTGAATGAGCACCAAATGGTTCCATTGCAAGAAATTTTTGTATGTTATTCCTATACAACAAAATAATTATTAAGAAATTAAAGTTGTGCTATAGATTATAATATTTATTTGAACATGCCAACCTCTGAACCATTAAAACTAGAATAGTTTCATTACCCTGTGATGCTTGACTGCAGAGCTAAGTAAATTTGTAAGTTAGTAGAAGAGGCAGATATAGAGGGTCAAAACATGAACAAATATTTTCTGTGCTCCAGATTTTCATTGTTGTTTGCATATGCTCCTGAACAGAGGATAGTGTTTGCTGTTGCTTTTAAAGTTGACTGTTAAAGCAGTTGAAGTGATTGTCTCAGTTATAATGTTGGGGATTTTGTTTTTTTTAATTTTTTTATTTTTTTTCAACGTATCAAGCTTGGTGCCAAAAAAGGTGGTTTGGGGGCACAAAAAGTGAGCAGCCAAAGCTTTAATGAGATTGAAAAACAAGCCCAAGCTGTAGATAAAATGAAGGAACAAGAGGATCTTCATAGCAGTAAGAAAACTGAGAAGGATGAGCCACTGTAAGTATGACACACAATTTCATGTTAATGAAGTAATTGTCAACATTTTAAATACTACCAGAGATTAACTAATGCAAATAAAACTTCAGTTTTTGCTTTAAAAAAAATCCCAAACGTCGATGTGGTGGGCCGAACAGTGATTCCCCCATTGCCCTTTTTCTTGACATTAAGTATATGTTTCTACAGTTGATGTTTTACTGTAGAAATAGCCCAATGCTATTTAAAAATAACCTCAGTGCTATTTAACACAGAAAATAAGGAGACATTCTTCTGATACATAGGAATAAAATGTGAACTAAATCCAAAATATGTTAAATTTAAGTATAACCACAGAAGGCTCTTGCCTCTTGAACCTTCTTTACCCCATGCTACTTTAGTCTGTTTTGATGTAGTGGACTGAATACTATTTAAAACAGTTTTCTAAGAACATTGGGAACATGCAAATATTCAGCTTTATTTGTACTTATTGGGTAAGAGTTTCTATGCTGAAGGCAGAGGGTAGTTTATGGCTAGAATTGCCCGCTTAATTTTCAGATGTTTTATACTGGAGCTGCCTTCATTTTCACCAGAACCCTTTGAATAGTTTTGTCTGAGGCCTCGAATCTGTTAGTCCATCTTTATAAATACTCAGCCCTAAAGCTCAGAGAATGCTGTGTCTGTTTCTTCCCACTACATTTCTCTGCTAGGTGTTTTTGGCTTTTAACGTTTTGTGAGTTGTCATCAAAATTAGACTATTAAAGAGTTGCTTAGTGTATACTTTTACTATTGTAAAGTTTAACAACCTCTCTTAAGTGCTAGGATGCATCATTTTTATAACTGATTGAGAAATTTTGTGAGTTATTACATGAAATTAATCAGAGGGCTAGAGCACCTCCCCTGTGAGGACAGGTTGAGAAAATTGGGGTTGTTCAGCCTGGAGAAAAGAAGGCTCCGAGGAGACTTAATAGCAGCCTTCAAGTACCTGAAGGGGGCCAAGAGGAGAGATGGGGAGGCACTCTTTATCGGGGGGGTAGTGAGAGGACAAGGGGTAATGGTTTTAAGCTAAAAGAGGGCAGATTTAGACTAGACATTAGGAAGAAGTTTTTCACTGTGAGGGTGGTGAGACACTGGCACAGTTTGCCCAGAGAAGCTGTAGATGCCCCATCCCTGGAGGTGTTCAAGGCCAGGCTGGATGAGGCTTTGAGCAACCTGGTCTAGTGGAGGGTGTCCACTAGGTCCTTTCCAACCCAAACCATTCTATGATTCTATAATTACAGGATCACTTGGAGCTCGTGGTACCAAGCTGTCTGGTCTATAACCTCCTCCCTGCTACTCCTTTTGCTCACTTTTACGTAGCCTCTGCAGAAATTGATGTTTTGCGTGTATCAAAAAATATTAATCACAAGAGGATTGTTCATTTTTCCTGAAGTATTTTTACCACAAAGTTGTGTTTCTCAGTGATTGCCAAAAACTACCAGTAGAGGGACTCGGAGGAATGGACTACTAAATAACAAGAAAAATTATTGTTCGTTATTATTTATTATTATTCTTTAATTAGTCTATCTTTAATGATGTAATTCAGTTTGGAAGAAAGTCACAAGTAGTGATTTGGTTTTTGTGTCAGAAATGTATAAATCTATATAGATCCAAGGTAACCTTTAGTATAAGATTGCTGCAACCTTTCTGCAGTGGCTAGAACCCTCTAAAAACATCTGCAAACATGAGGGGTGCACATAGACTTTATGGATCTGATCCCAGCAGAGGCAAAATAACTGCATTTCCCTTGAGACTAACTTTTTGGATTTTTAACTGTAGATGGCAGTATATACCAAAGTTAAAGAAGGGTGAATACTTTTAAAATTGCATTTGCTTCCAACTAATTTTTGTGGTGGTTTTAATTTTAAAAGCTTGAATAATGAGCTTTAGTAAATTAATTCTATGTGGCTTTGTTACGTGGTGGGAATGGAAGCGATACTTTTGTAGTCTAGTATGTAGAAGGAGAAAGAGTCCTGAGACTTAAAACTTAAAATGTGATTTTATAATTGGTACACAGTTTGTTTCTTTTCTGCTGTGCACTGACAAGAGAATAGATAACTGAAATTACTTTTAAAAAATTATCAGTGGTAAGACTTTTGATGTTCATAAAACATTTCATACGATGAGCTGATAATCTTTCAATGTAAAGTGCTGGGTAGATTTTATCAGTGGCAGTTACAAGTTGAAATTCAGAGAACATTTTCAATTTTCTGTGTAACAGTGGGTCCTAAACTGTAAGAATTTATTTAAAACATCCTTGAACATACTCTGTGCTTTGTAGATATATTTTTCTGATTTTATTGGTTTCAAAAGTCATTCCACAGATGCATTGTGATTTGTATCTGACTTTCATTGTTATAAGCATCTGAACATAAGTTGTAGTGATTTTTTTAGTTCTGGCTCCAAGTCCTCTGAAAGCCCCAGTTGAGGGATACCTGATCATCACAAGATTGAGATTTCTCTCTTCCTTTTTGAAATGCCTCGTCAGTGGAGGAGTGATGTCCCATTCCTTATAGCAGGCTGGTAACTACATCCATTGTCTGTGAAGGAAGAAGACCAGATAGATGCTGTGCCCTTTTCATTCTAACGGCTTCAGCCACACAGCTCCTGTGTTGCAGGAGATGCACTAAACTTCAGGATATGAACTTTGCGAGGGGCATTTGGTCCTTTTGGTTAAAGTTAAGTCAGTACGCATGGGATGAGAAAAAATCAAGATGGGAAGAGCCTGTTTCACTAATGAAATAGGAGACACTCTGGAAGAAAGTACTCCTTGGTAAAAAAGTTGTTTTCATTTCTGCTTCTGCACAGAATGGATGGAAAGTTACTAATGGTTTTCAGACTTAAGTACTTCCTTTCTACTTGCAGCAGGATATTTGTCAGCAGCATCCTAAATATCATTTACCTTTCTTTTCGTAGTGTTCATTTGTACTCTATGCCAGTCACAACTTATGAATTAAAATATTGCTGCATTGCTCACTAAAAGTACTATTTTTGTCCATTTAAACCTAACAAATTAAATTTAAGCAGTGTTTCTGCAATTTTGCAATCAAGATTTAAAAACCTCTGTCTCTGCTACACTGATATTCCTGGAAAATAGTTAAGATTGTTTTGAGGTATAGGAAGGTTCATGGCATTGCTGAAAGACAGCTTATGGTATCTGAACTGTGAGGATGTTTCAGATGACAAAATGTGTTGCCAGATGTGCAGAAAATTATAAGTTTTGGATGCTTCAAAGTTTTTATAATGCAGAATATATTCCACCTTGGGAATACAAAGACTCTCTTCTCCCCTCTTCTGAGACACCTTTTTTGGGCACAAGAAAGGGCAGCATCAATGAAGAAGTGTGGTCTGCCTCTAGCACCTGTCTCAAGAGTGCATGTATAACAAGTGTTAAAACCACTAGGAGCGTGAAGAGGGTGAAGGGAGGGAGATGTAGCAGGGCTAAGCAGCGCGTTAGGGGAAAACAATAGTATTACATCATGAATATCACAGTACTGCAGTATGTCAGAGTTGGATAATTCTGATAATTATTTGGTATCACATAGAATAAGCACAGTGGAAAAAAGACTTTTTCTTCACTTTGTGGTGATGCAAAACTGTCCTGAACTTTAGCAGCAGCATGTTTCACATTCCTTTTGAAAAAGACTACCTGCTCATATGCATACCAGAGTACTGTTTAGACAGTCTTCTCAATGGACTTGCTCCCATCCTTATAGTTGGAATTTAATCCAATTAATAATGAATATTTTCAGTAAACACAACATGCAAAATACAGTGCTACAATATATATTGTTAGTTTTCTACTAGTATTATTGGATTGGTTGTTCAGTGTTGCGTTTTACAGTTATATGTTAACTGTATGTTTTATTCTAGCGTATCATCTTTACGGTTGGCCTACAGAGATCTTGATATTAAAACAAAAGAAGAAAAGTTAAATCTGTCTGGTAAGAAGAAAGATGAATTGGAGAGACTTGGCATGGGCTTTGGCAGCAGCAGAAGGTATGTGAAGTTCTACAAACTGTATTTAAAATACTCTGTGGCTTTATGCAGTTATCCTTCATTTTACTTAGGAAATGAAAAACTATACTAAAACGTGTTATGGAAACTTAAACAATATAATCAAAGACTCTCGTATTTGTCAGGGGAAGGGGCAAGATTGCTTCTGATAGATTTAAGTTCTCACCTGCCAGACAGGCGTTAACATAAACTGTAGGATGTCTGTAGAGTGTTTGCCTCCATTAGCTGACTGTGAGGAAGGTAGTCAGGATGCTTTCAGTGAACAGTACCAACCTAAGTGTAGTCTGTCTTTTATAAGCAAAAACTCTGAAGAAGTCACATTGCTATGTTTTCCAGATGTTGTAATGGTCTGTGTGTTTAGAAGCCTTGTCACTACTCGTGAGCCCTGTCACTACTAGTGAGTCACCACTCAACTAGAGTTGAGTTTTCCAGGGCTTTTTTTTTTTTCCCCCCTCCTTTTTTCTTAAATGTTTCTATAGCTTGGGCTTTATCAGCAAGCTTCAAAACTAGATTTGGGCTTTCGTTTCTCCTTTTTTTAGGGTGTGAGCTTTGCCATCTCTTTACATACTTATTTTCTTCCTGTCTCCAGTGGCATTTCTCACTCAGTCACCTCAGATATGCAAACAATAGAGCAGGAAACACCTGCAATTGCAAAGCCGAAGAAAAAGTACACCGATGATGTAGAAGACTCGTATTTCTCTTCTAGTTCAAGGTAACATATAAGCTTTTTATTTTGAGTGGGGGTAGAAGTATATGCAAGTTACGTATTCAAATATACATGTTGTGGTTTAACCTCAGTTGGCAATGAGTACCACGCAGCTGCTCACTCACTTCCCCTGGTGGGATGGGGAGAGAATCAGAAGAGTAAAAGTGAGAAGATTCATAGGTTGAGATAAAGACAGCTTAATAGGTAAAGCAAAAGCCACATGCACAAGCAAAGCAAAACAAGGAATTCATTCACTATTTCCCATTGGCAAGCAGGTGTTCAGCCATCTCTAGGAAAGCCAGGCTCCATCACACGTAATGGTTACTTGGGAAGACAAATGTCACAATTCAGATGTCCCCTCCTTCCTTCTTTTTTTCCACCGGGTTTATATGCTGAGCATGGTGCCGTACAGTATGGAATATCCCTTTGGTCATTTGGGGTCAGCTGTCCCAGCTGTGTCCCTTTGCAACTTCTTGTGCACCCCCAGCCTACTCACTGGTAGGGCGGTGTGAGACACAGAAAAGGCCCTGACTCTGTGTAAGCGCTGCTCAGCAGTAACTAAAACATGCCTGTGTTATTAACATTGTTCTCAGCACAAATCCAAAACATAATCCCATACTAGCTATTATGAAGAGAATTAACTCTGTCAGAGCCAAAACCAGCACGACACAATGTATTTGGAACTTAAGATCAAAACAGAGGACAGTTGGACACATCTACACACCTAGCATATTTTCAGGTGTCATCTGAATCAGAAAAGTTGTGAAATAGCTGACCTTAGCTCCATGACAGATGTATTTATAAAGAAGAGGAGCTACTTTTTCTGAGGAGATGATAGTCTGAATTATGCGTTTACAGGTTTTGTCTTGTTCAGGCTTTAGTGTCTACTTGCACAGACAGTTGCCATATAAGCAACAATGACTTGGGTTCTTTTCTTTTTTCCCTTTGGGGTACTGTCTTCAACTTCAGATTTGAAATTAAAGAAGTATCAAAGTCTTATACTAGATATACAGCAGTTGTATCATTCTTTTAACAGGATGCATGCCAAATGCAAAAAACTTAATTCTTTTTGAGGTATTGTGTTTTGGATATATCGTGTAGATGTCTGCAGTCTTGTTTGATAGGCTTTTATGTATTAGAACATAAAATGTAAGCAAAAAATAATTGACGAATTTTTGATCAGAACATGAATACACTGCAATTTGTAAAATACTGCTGTTGGAAGGGAGAAAAAAAAGAATTAGTCATAGAGGCACTAATTGCAATGAAAAAGCTGTTTCTGGACTGATGATAGAAACAGGTGTTGCTTTTATTGGATTGGTGCCACAGAAACATGAAAAATTGTGACTAATTACTTGTAGACTGGCAAATAAAAACACAAAGGCTTTTGTGTCATTGCTTTGTAGGGTAATCACTGGTGGCAGAAATGTAAATGTGTACCGAGTAAACTGGCAGCAGCCTTGTAAAATAAAAAGTATCATTTCAGTACTGCTCTATTTGTTCCTTGAAAAGAACTGTTCCTGCTCTCAAATTATTCATAAACCTACCAGCACACAAAGGATGCATTATGGAAGAGGCTTTTTAATGTGTTTTGGTTCAATAATTAGAAGATAAATTGTAACCTAGCTGTTCCCGGCTCTTGTTCTTCTAGTTACAGCAATTGTAGAACCTAATGGGAGTTGGTATACAAATTAATTTTTTTTTAAAGAAAGTATGAAGTCAGATTGTTGGACTTGGTAGGGTTTGTAAGGCGGTTATTATTCTTTATTCCAAGCAGTGACATTGAAATAGAGGTAAAGGGATTTTAATATCATCTTAGTATATACCCAAAAGCAAAATAATCATGCTGGATATTAGAGTGCTGAAAAGTATCTGTAAATTAAGCAAGCTAAATGTTTCAAGGTTTAGTTATATAACTGAAGCCTCTCAGAATTCCTGGATTTGATTTTTTTTTTTTTTTGCTACAATTAGTAAGATCTTTACTAACATAACAATGGAAAATTTAATTTTCTATTAAATGCAGTTTTTATTTCTCCCTCCACTCTGCCCAAATACTGAAGTATTTTGACAAGTTATGAAAATCAGAAAGAAAAGGATGGAGAAAATAAGTACTTTTATTCAAATCAGCTCTTTTGGCCCCTGCCCCGTCCCCTGGTTTTGATGGCCATTGTGAGACTAGATAGCTATATATATGTGTGTGTGTATATATATATATATATACAGACATACACACATCTTGTTTGCTACTACACATCCATATGGAAATTTTAAAGATTGCTGTGGCTTCTTCATTAGGTGAGCAGGAATAAGAGCATTGCTATATAGGAGCTTCCTTGCGGGTTGTATACTGTGCTTCTACACTCTGCTACCGTAGGAACATATGACATAGAAAGTGAGAAGTCAGGCCAAAAGGAAATGACCCTGGTTGTAGGTAAGGATGCATTGCCTTGCCATATTTCTAAGCTGATGTAAGGGAGAGAGGCAGCTGAATTAAGAAATTTGGAATGCCAACTACTTTCTGGTGCTGTACCACTCTTGTCTGGGAGTTTTTTCTTTCCTTTTATTTATTTTACATGTGATACTGCACTTGAAAACAACTTAAGCTCACAGGAATAGTGAAAAATTGAATTGGTATAGTGATGTGCCCCCAAAAGTAGATTCTGTGATTTTTCTTTCTTTTCAGCTTCCATCTGTGACTCTTACTTTGGATTTTACAGTTGTATCCAAAACATGGAAGGGGTAAAAAGCCTCATTTAGCAGGAAAAAAATACCTTCAGGAATCTATTGGGTGTAACATCCACTCTGTGGGTTGATACTGTGAAGATGAAAATTGCATTGCAGTGAGCCTCCTTTGCTCAGAGTGCTAAATGCACTTCCCCTTGTCTGTCAGGAGAGAAGGGGAGAGACTCCTGCTTTTTGTAGAAGTTCATTCCCAATCTGTCCCTGCTATTTTACATGTGCAGAGGTGGGAGACTTTGCTGCAGAAGGTGTCACATTTCTCATGAACTGCAAAACTAATGTCCTGACTATTTATAACACAAACATGGAGAACTTTTTTTTTTTTTTAACGGTACTTTTCACAAAATACAGATGCGGACTTTGGTATCCTGTGCTTGTTCTATTGAGTGATTCCTTTCTGCTTATCCTATTTTGATAATTTTATTCCTGGTTGTATTCTCCTGGTTGTATCCAAGAAAGTTTATTTAACCACAAAGGGAAATTCTTAATCTTTGGCATTTTAATAGGTTTTTTTCAAGTATTTTACATATAAGTTTAGATTTGTATAGATAATCAAAGGGGAAAAGGTCAAGATAAGGTACTACTGGAATTGACAAACATGCTTCATTTTTTTTTCCTTTTCTTTGTGTTTTCCGTGCAGTTTTCATATGTAAGAGAAGATTATCTTATTAAATTAAGTCTCACTTTTAAGAAATATCTTATTTATCATTGTTTAAATAAAATATGTTACAAAGATCAGAGATTAATATTTGTATTATATATATACAGAACCAGAGACAAGGGCTTTCCTTACTGCTCTGAACTATGTTGATGCCTCGGAAAATGGGAGCAGATTTTCTGCTCGCATAGCTTGCAGATTGACTAGTATGGAACTGTGAGTTTAGCCACTGTCAGCCCCTTAGTTAGAAGACTTTGCCCCATGTGAAACCAGAGCACAATTAGATGCCATGGGTTAGTGAGGTGCTCTTGGATCTCTGGAGTGTTCAAAGTGCCTTGAAAGTTGTGGTGGCTTTCTTCATAGCTGGTTTCTTAGTATGGTGTATCAAGAGCACCAAGGCTTTATGAGCAGGGTACCTTACCTTGTAGGATCATCATGATGCCTTGCTCACAGGATCCACCCTGAAGTTTTCTTAGCTCCTGAAGCTCTTAAACCAGCCAGGTATCTTGACAATATTCTTCCCAGTGCTTTGTCTGACTCTAGAGAAGAAGTTATACTTTGAAGTAATGAGAGCTTTTCTCTGCTGTTTTTGATGGGACCAGATCTTTCAGGCAGTCCACTACATATTCATGACCATATCCAGCCTAAAGAAAGGCCAGACTTTTCATTCATTTAAATAGGTGTGCCAAAAACCAAAAATCCATTTGATTCAACTGCACAAAGCTTCTAACCAATCCAGATTATTCACTGACAACTACCATTGTCCTAAAAACTTATTTGCTAGTGAAGACTTATTAAATAAATATTTATTTAACAATATAATGTTCCTACTTTTTCAGTAGTTTTTTTTCTTCTTTTATTTTAGGTACTATGATTCTTCAGATCTGAAGAGCAGTGCTTTCCCTAAATGGGAAGACAATACAGATTCTTTTTGGAAGAAAGAAAATTACAATAGAGATGTTGATGTAATGTTAACTTCAAAAAGTACAGGATTTTCAGACAGGTATACAAAGAAAACCTAACTGATTTTTGCACAGTAAGCCCAAGCTTGTTAATATGATTTGTGTCCTGGTCATAGTAGTGGGATTTTTTTTCAGTCTACAGGGAAAATTTTGTCACAGCTTCCATCAGCACTCAAGGGACTTCCTGTCTGAATTTCTTTTGTAAACTGAATTTTCTGTTTAGTTATTTACATTTCAAGCACTGTTTTGCTCAGTGCTGTAGAGTATATGTACGACATAATTTCCAAAGCATTTCAGCAAAAAAAGTAGACAAAAGATGTGGAGAGAGACTGAAATACTTGCAGTGTTATGAGGTTATACCTGCTTTACTTGCTTTGTTTATTGCCTGATGAACCAAGCAGAACTCAGTTACCAAATGAATGAAACTGTAGGGTACTCAGCTTTCAGGATTAAGGTATCGAAGATACTTGCTAACAACAAGTCCAATTGCTGTGATGACAAAAAAATGAATAGATTTCTTCTCTAACAACTGTGTTTTATCTTTGTAATCAAGTGGAAAATACAAGAATGTGGGGGTTTGTGTGCTTGGTTGGTGTTTTCTGCTTCTGTTCTTATTGCCTGTATTTTCATTTACCTGTACGATGCAGTTTGTGCACTTAAGTACAACTTTTTTTGTTGTACTTAAGTGCACAAACTTTTTTAAACATAGGCATGTTCTGTTGTTTCCTAAAGACTGGACCAGTGATGCATATTACACAAAAGAGGGGTTTGTGTCCATAACCCTATTACTAACTTATTTAAGTACATTTATTAAAAAAAAAAAAAAAAGGAAAAAGTCAAATGTTGAATGTATGTTTGAGGAGGAAGGCTGTGACAGTTTAAAGGATGTGGAACCTTTTTGTACTATTATGTTTCAGTCTGAATTTCACTGACATTGTGTTTTGGTTTTTTTGAGGTTTTGTAGAAATAGTCTATCCTTGTTGACATAATTTTGTCTTGCTTTTTAAATGAACTCTGAAAATAAAGATACAGGATTAATGAATTTGAAATACTGTAAATCCACCATCTTGTAAAACTGCCACTGGAGGTTTTTTTGCTGCTATATCAATTTGGTTATCTGAACTTCTTCATCCTGGGTTCATACCTATTTTAATTTTTGTTAAAATAAATTAATAATTCTATTTTTAGGCTTCGCAAAACAAAGATATAGTGCTTCTTGTTTGATTTATTGTATTCTGCCATGATATAAATAAAAGTTACGCTCACTAATGCAGTTTGTTTTTCTTTTAGGCCTACATCTCGTCGTAAGCCTGAATATGAACCATCTTTAAACACAGATGAGGCACAAAAAAAATTTGGCAATGTAAAAGCTATTTCATCAGATATGTATTTTGGAAGGCAAGATCATGCTGATGTAAGTAGAAAGCAGTGATAAATATTTATGAATGTTAAAATATTCTGTCTATAAACATGGTGTTCTCGTACAAAGAGAAGGCAATAGATAGTTAAAATTGGTAGAATTAGTAGGCTTATAGAATTATGTCCACTTGAATATTTGTTTGATAGAAATGTACAAGGGTCTGAAAACTCTGATAGTTTTGTATTTCCTAAGGAGCTGCAGCTCCAAGTAGGACCTTACCTCTGACATAACTCATCTCTGAGAGAAGTGGTAGACTATGATTCAGCAGTCTTTATTTTTGAAAGAATCAGCCTGATGCTGGGTGAAGGTTTACTTCTTTTGCTCTAACTACCCAAACTGGTGCTAACAAACCATTGTTAAAACAGCTATCCCCTCTGTATTTGTTATTTGGAACCATTATTGCTATTGTAAGGCTAAGCAAGCTGATGAATGGTTCAACAAATGACATTGAATCAGCCAAGGAATAAAAACCAGATTGATATGATGTTGCATTTTGGAGGCAAAGGATCATTTTTTAAAAATATATTTTTAATTAAAAATTAGCAGTGTAAACAGTAATGTAAAAAAAATAAAATCAATGTATTACCATTCACAAGGAAGAAAAAGTTGAATTACAGGCATCGTAATTAGAAAGGTTAACATGATGCTAACTGCAGTGCACTTATCCTACCCCACCACTGCATTTCACGTTTTTCAGTTGTTTTTAATCATTGTGTAGTTCATTCTCCTCTGCCTTTTCAGCAATCCCCTTTTTTAGGGTAGCTATCAGTGAGTAGGCCTCTTGGTGTTGCAATGGTAAATGTCACTCTTTGATCAACTCAGAAATGAGTTGAGACGATGACACACCATGTAAGTCAGGTGAAAACTGCAAAATGGAAACAGCTTTCAGAATGGTCAACTTCAGCTAGATTTGTATGTTCTGAAACTATCTATAATCTCATGAATTATCTGACATGACCTTGAAAGATGATTACTTTTTCTTCTCAATTCTTTACCAGTATGAAGCAAGGGCTCGACTAGAAAGACTTTCTGGAAGCTCCTCTATAAGTTCAGCTGACTTGTTCGAAGATCAGAAAAAACAACCAACAGGTACATATATTCAGCAGAGTGAGAAACTTTATCATGCAGTGAATATGCTCCTGTACTCTGCTTCTAGTTAAACTATCAGCTAGCGCTCATGTATTCTGCAAGAAGTGTGCAAAGTGCAGTATGCATTAATGTTGCTAATAGGTCAAACAAGCTTAACAGGTAGTCATTTTTAAAGAAAATTAACTTCTTAAATTTCAAGTTCTGTATTTTCAGTTCAATAAATTCAATATTTTATACTTTTTTAATATGACTTGTTGCAAATAAATAGACTAACTATATTGTAAAAAAATTTTATCAAAGGAAAACATTAATATTTTGTTATAAAAACAAATGAAGTAACACCTGAACTGATTATCAGGTAGGTTTTTTTATAAGTTGCCATAACTTATATATTTATGTATATGAAATTAGCTGTCATAAGAATATTGAATCCAAAAAGAATCTTCAATAAAATGTTAGTGGCCTTGAAATTCCCATGTAATCTGTTGCATGGCTTATCCATTCATCAGAATGTCTGCTTCTAATGCTGGTCTTGCCAAATTCTTAAGGAAATTTTGCAATTGGTTTGTCTGTTTAAAAGATTTGTTGGAACACCTTACACTGGAGAGTATCATTCATCAAATCAGAAAGGAAGAGGTATTAGATTAGACTGACTCAAAAGTAGCCCCATAGGCTACTGAAAATCCCTCACATTTTCTTTCTAACACCCTTTTTGGTTAGTGCAATAATGTGAAATAGAAAAGGTAAGAAATACTGGAAAATTTTACTGACCTGATCAGTTGGGCTTCATTCTGTAACTTGTGCAAAAATTGAAAAAAACAATTACTGAAGAACTTGAAATCTATGAGTAATTACATAAAGAGACTGGAAAAGCAAACAGTATGCAGCATGATTTTACTTTGGAAAAGTTGAAAAAAAAAAAAAAGCCATGTGGCTGTTCAGTTTTGATCCCTTGAAAGCAAGGTTTGAATACACTGGCTAGTACAGAAATAACTCCTGTTAACAATTACTAAGCTGGATTTTAGTCAGTTGAAATGTAAAAAAAAAACATGAAGGAGAGGAGGAGACATACAGCAGAAATAGCGTAAGTTACTTTAGCCACTTGAAAGAATATTTGCAGCATGGTATTGTACTTGTGATTTAAAAAGAGGATGGGGACATAAGCAAAGAAATAGTGTTTCTGAATTTGAAATCTATAATGTTTTCATTAGTATAGGGGATTGTGATAACAATTTTTTTTATCTATCTATTGTTGAGTAATACTTTCTTTGTCCTTTTAATTTTCTTGCATATAGATGATTTTGTATGGAATTTTTCCTTTAATTTCTGTAATATGTGTGGGGTTTTTAAACAGTAATGAAAAAGAAAATGAACTAGGAAAAGATAAATATAAATTAAAGATAGAGCAAATTGTGTGATGTGATATATATCTATATACATATATATACACATATATATATAAACGTGCCTTTCCATGTACACATACACACATATGTGATAAAATTCTCATCATATTCTGAATAAGGATAGTTACAGGCAATTATATAATGTTTACTGTGTGTGTGTGTGAGTTGTGCACACATGATTATTTATCCCTGACCACTTGGAAAGGTTCGTGGGGCTTGTGGGGGAATGCAGAGATTCTGAACAATAGGATGCAAAATACCTGCCTGCATCTTGAGGTTAGTTAGTCTCTGTGACTGGCATGTAACCCAACAGTAAATTTAAAGTTATATTACAAAGACTAAACTTCTGCTAAATTTTGTGGGTTGATAACTGCTCTAAAATAACAGTGTGGAAAAAAATACACCAGGATTTACTACTTTGTATATTATAAATTCACACTATATTCAATTTACTGAATCTTCCTTTCCTGCATGTTTTTGTTACACTCCCCACCCCAAGGACTATCTTTTGACAATGGCCCTTCTTGGAGAAATTTTACTGCATAGATGGCTTGTCTGGTGTTGACTTAATGCCAAGGCCATCATTAGTTCCATAAAATAAAGGTAATCAGGAGACTGGAGGCTGGCAACAAAAATGCTGCTGTAATTCTGGGGTCTTTGCCAGAATAAAAGGTCCTTTGAATCTAAAGTTGGTTTTAGTAGCTGAGATTTTAGGGTAGAACAGTTTTGGGATGCTTGGGTTTTTACAGAATGTTGTAGGAGCTATTTACCAAAAAGAGGGGGCTGCAAGAAAACTCTTTTACTTTGTGTTATATCAGACCTGTTGCTTATGAAAGATGGCATGTCAGATGGCAGAGTTGCCAACGCTGATTTTGAAGGAAAACGCAAGAAAAGGAGTTGCTTTCCTACCTCAGTCATAGGAAGTTTTTCAGACAACCATACATAACCAGCAAGACATGAGAAAATTTATGTGGCTGAGAAGTGGTTAGAGCTTTTCTCAGGTTATTCTATCTGCGAGTTTTATTTCCATTACTCTGATTTTAACAACAGAAATGTTGAAGGGTTTGAGAAGTAGAACAGATTGTAAGGAAGTCGAAATTACAGTTCAGAAATAGGGCTGTCTCAGTGACAGTGAATTTCTGAAAATAATCTTATAAACAAGTGTGCCCATGCATTGCAGAAGCAGCTGCTAGCTGGCTTTAAAGAATGGAGTGGGAAGCTCTCTGTGACTATGCATCTGCCACTATGAACCAGCCTAAGCTAAGGCTTAGGTCAATCAAATTATCTACAGTAATGTCTGTCTTGTGCTGGTAATGAGGCAGGTGCCTTTAATTTCTTATGAAAAGAGGAGCTACAAGTTCTCTGCCTCTTCCTCCTCCACCCCTGTTCAAAAAGAAAAAAAGGAGAAGAAAGGGCTGCCAGTGTGTAGCAGTGTTCTGCATGGAGCTGCTGTCAGAAGGAGCTACGGTTGTGCAGGTTGTGGAGTCTGCAGCTGGATGAGCTTGTTTGAGGTTCAGTAACTGCTCACAAGTTACCAGTTGTGTCCCGACTGGTCGTGACTATCTGTTGGCTACCTTTCTAAATTAAGGCTACAGATGGCAGTGTGCATTTTGAAAACGGTCTGTTTTGGGATGCTTCCTCTCAGGAGCCCCATTTATTCCCGAGATCATAGTTCTGTGATGCTGGTTTACTGCCATTTGTGTCTTTTCCAGTATCAAGTATCCAATATTAAGGTGTGCCGGTAATTCTTTTCGCAAATGAGTGGGTGATTGCAATCGTTAGTGTGTTAATACTTACCATGCAATTAGTTTTGAAACATCTTTGATTTCTGTTATCTTTAGGCCTATACTTTTCATAATAGCAGTAGAGGTGACACTTACTGGACAAACTGTATAGGCTTTAAGGAAGACTGGATTGACGGCTTTGTTTTGGAGTTTTAAAACTTACTTACCTTTACTATAATTCCAAGTCTCAGATGTAGTAATGCAAAATATGTGTGTATATACAGCATGCAAAACATACCTATGCATGCACAGAAACAGGGTTCATCACTTCAGTCACCACTGAAGTGTATTCATCTTTAAATTGCAAGGTAATAGCAGCTGTTTAGGATACAAGACAACATTTCAGCAGATTGAAAGTGCAGAATAAATCATATATTATCCAAACATTCATTGCTCAGCTGGGAATACAAAGTGTGGAAGATGACACTCTGGGTGGAATGATGAACAACTGAAAAAAAATTAAAAGGAAGATGCATTTAAGAAATTAGAGATCTATGCCCAGTGTTTTTTGCAGTGTTGTTGAGACATTTGTATTCAGTGCTTCTAGCAGTGTATTGTACTTGGGGGGGGGGAATATAAAGCATTTAAATGCTTTTGATATAAAGTTCTGTTTTCTTCTTGTGTGTGTGTCTCCTCCTCTTAGGAAGCTACAATATTACAAATGTCTTGCCTTCAGCTCCTGATATAGCTCAGTTTAAACAAGGAGTGAAATCAGTGGCTGGAAAACTTTCTGTACTTGCTAATGGGGTCATGACATCTATACAGGTTAGTAAATATATTATGATATATTAAACACCAGTTAAAGTCTTTTGGTAGGGATTTCGTATCATGAATCCTGCTGTTGTATCATCTTTACGGAGAAAATAATGAACTTGGTTTTGAGCTTTGTAGACCTCTCATGGTACTCAGTAGTACTATCTTTATCTTTTTAAAAGTAAATCTGTAGCTGATAGTTTGCCTTCCTCAGAGTATCTTTTTTATCTTTTCCCTTATATAGTTTATTTTCTTACACTTGAAACAAAAATTTTATCATGGAAGTGATTTGCTGTCACCTTATTTTTGAAGTTAATAGTTCATAACTCAGAACAGTTCAGTAGGAGGACACCTGCAGCAATCAGATAGCCCAACTCTTGTACTGGCCCTTTAATTGACTTGACAGTAATAGCTTTGATCTGCATTTGTGCACAAAATTAAGACATCCTGGTCTCAATAATGTAAAGCATGCCTCGTGCTCCAGTTAGTTTGCATTTTTTTATATGAGGTCAGTGGGAGCTCTTGGGTGTTTGAAAATCAGACTAATTATCCTGGAGTTTAACCATCAACTCCTGTTCTTGGAAGCGCTGGTCAATTTTCTTTAAGTCTTTAAGAATTAAACTACTATTTATTTTATAAATGTAAGTACAACTAATTTCTTTCAGTGGAAAACATACTTAAGCCTGTCTGGTTTTTTTTTTTTACTTTTCTAGGATCGATATGGTTCATAACATCTTTTGTCTCGACATAATTAAGTACACTAAAGAAGGATTTCTCTTCAGATACACAAGTAATCACACTGCTGATTCAAATGAAGGTTGCCTTAAGACTGTTGATGTTTTTACTTGTTCCAGCATATTTGTTTCCTTGTGCAGCTTTCTGGCTCAGCCTCTTCTTACTGCTATTTCATCTTTACAGAGCAGAGATCTTGTAGCAGCTTGTTACATTGAATTTTGCTTTTTTTCTTTTTTTCTCCCCCCTCCTTTACAGTCTTGTATTTCTTAGCAACCTTAATGTTATATGTTGGAAGCTTTATTTTATTACTGTTTTTGTCTGTGAGGCAGGAAAGAAAATGAAGGATGAACACATACATTGGAAATGAGCCTTCCTAAAAGAAACCTAAGTGCAGTTGCCTTCTTACTCACTAGACATAACTTGTCTTCTGACTGTCTTAGGAGCTATGGAGAAGAAAATTTAAATTAAGCATATGCTGAGATGTTTTTTAGTGGACTGTAGCAAAATATAGAATTAAGTTAAACCTGCGCTTATCAGGAAGTGGAAGCTCTTGCAGTCATAAGTTGATGTGCATTAAAATGATGGGGAATTAGTGTTTTAAAACAATATTCCTGTTAGAAATTTGTATGCTTATATGTGAGGTACGGAGAAGACAAGGCATGTGGTATATTGAATACTGGGTTTCATCTTGTCATGAGAACAATCTATTTATTCCTAGTTTTGAAAGTTACAAAAAATTGCAATATCAAATCCTTAAGTGCTTTTTAAAAATCTGTATTGTGTACAAATTGGAAAAAAAAACCCTAAAATATATAAAGGGCCTAATAGAGTAATTAATTAAATACTTGTTAGAAATGTTTAGAACAATCTTAGCTTTTTGATAAATTATGAAATATTGAATGAGGAAATATAGTGGGGCTGTGTTTTAGACAGTCTAGAATTTATTGTTGATGACATCCTGTATAAAAATGATTATGACCTTGAAGAGAAAAACCTCCCAACCAACAATGAGCTCAAACTAATTCTGTTCTGTAACTTTACTACTTAATTCAAATTTGTAAACTGCTGATATCTAATAAAAACAATTGATGTAAACTAATTTTTAATTAAATTTCTATGTGCAGACTACCAGTCTCCAGTTTTCTAAATACTGACATCTGTATTCTGTCTACACAATGGTCTGGTAAAATTAGCCTTTAATTTCAATTAGTGAAACTAGCTTTTTTATTAAATTGCTATAGTGATTTGGAAATCAAAACACTACAGCTAGGGTAGAAAATCAGCTACTCTATTGAAATACTGTGTTTAACTACAGTCAACAGTATAGCTGTATTTGTTTTTTAATTTCTAGCTGCCTCTCATATCTAACTCTCAGTTCTGGTAACTTTCTCTTGTGGCTATTGCATTTACATTTATCAATCCAAAAATGGTCTTTCTTTTCTGAGAATAGTAGAAGATGAACATTTTTTTCTGCTTAACTGTAGAGCTTTACAATAAAAAACTTGCTTTGTTTTTTCCTTTCCCACCCTATAGAGATGATTTTGCTAATATAACAAGAAAATGTACTGGTCAGAGCTTGCCTCAGTTTTCTCTAATTGCAGGTAACGATTCTCAGTTTTCAAACTACTTTTTCAGTTAAGTCTACATACAATAGTAAATTTATTACAATAAGTGGTCTGATTTTCAGAGTTGCAATATGCCAACAGCATCCAGTGACTTGCAGAAGAGCTGCTCCTCTGGTAACTAGGCTGCATATTCAGATATTTGCATATGCATGCGGTTGCTTAAATTAAGGCATTGAAGTGTAACAAAATGTAATTCTGTCCCTTCCCATGGTTTCTGATGTATAACAATGTATGTGAGATGACCTAAACTGAAATAATTGTGTGCGTTTTTTATGCATCATGGCAATATAGCAAAACACTCACAAATGGAAAAATACAAAAAAATTGATATTTTCAGTACAAAATAAGAAGAAATTCTAGGAGGAAGCATCTGTAGGGTTATCTTAAGTGCCCCAGAAAACGTGCAACTCTAACACATACTTATAAACTTTTTCCTCTTTGCTGAAATCTGAAGATTACAACAAAGTTCTCTTTCTGGTGAACAATTCAGTATTTTCTGGAATAGTGAGCAGTTCAACATAAGTTGGATTTGTTGCACATTCTGTACGGCAACCTGTGTACTGCTAAGACGTTCTCTTGAAGTTCTCTTGGTGTAATGGCTAATACACCCGTTTGTGTCTTTAATAAACCCATGAGGTGGCACTGCATTTCATCAAATCCAGTTGGGGAGGGGTTGCCATGTGCACTGGAAGAGCCACTTTTAACTCCTCTAGTCTCCTGGGACTTCAGGGTGCCGTGGCACCTCGCATCCTACAGGATTTGATTGGGTTGGATCAAAGGGAGAGAAAGTCTACACCTAAAATGAGGTTTGCATTATGTGCGTCCTTTTCCTTTCTCATCTTTTGCCTTCAAACACAATTTGTCAGCCTCTGATAAGAGGGACAAATGGCTGATGCAGCTACAAGCTTCACAGGTTTTAGAATACATGGTAAAACCAGGTATTCGATCTGTTTTTGCAACAAGTTTCCAAGTGAAAGTCGGTATTGGTCATCAGTTGTGTTTTGCTGCAGTTCTTCTTCCCTTAATCCTCTCTTACTACCATTGTACATCTTGTTTTTTCAAAGCTGGAACTGAATGACAGCACCAGCAACTCTGAACCATTCACAGAATCACAGAATCACAGAATGTTAGAGATTGGAAGGGACCTCGAAAGATCATCTAGCCCAATCCCCCTGCCGGAGCAGGACAGCGAGATCAGATCACACAGGAACGCATCCAGGCGGGCTTTGAATGTCTCCAGAGAAGGAGACTCCACAACCTCTCTGGGCAGCCTGTTCCAGTGCTCTGTCACCCTCACCGTGAAGAAGTTTTTTCTCATATTCAAGTGGAACCTCCTATGTTCCAGCTTGAACCCATTGCCCCTTGTCCTATCACTGGATGTCACAGAGAAGAGCCTGGCTCCATCCTCCTGACACTCACCCTTTACATATTTATAAACATTAATTAGGTCACCCCTCAGTCTCCTCTTTTCCAAACTAAAGAGACCCAGCTCCCTCAGCCTTTCCTCATAAGGGAGATGCTCCATTCCCTTCATCATCTTTGTGGCTCAATTCAAGTTAAACTTTCCTCTTTAAGTCCATTAAGGACACTGCATATAAGAGGAGGGGAAAGGGAATTATTTGATACCTTACATTTTAGTATAGTAACCTACATTTTTGTATGTTAAATTGAAAGGGTTATAAAAATTTTTAAAGTTAGTTGTTACAACACCAGAACCAGCATTAATTCAGTGCAGAGACCTGCACTCTCCTTTCCTGAGTAAAAGGGGGAAAGGGCGGGGGGGGGGGAATCTTGTTACTGTCTGTTTCTCTTGCTTTTTGCTGAGTAGGATATCCTCAGTGCTGTCATTCTGATCTGCTTCACATCGGTTTGTTCCGCTGCTGACCGAAGCAACTCCAGAGCCATTTTGATGCTGATCTACACTTTTTGTTTTAGAAGGATTTTGTAGTGCAAGAGTGGGCTGGGTGACTCCATAGCATGGGAGTCTGTAAAAACTGCTTTAGCTTCATGTAGTTTAACACTGCTCTTGTCCTGCTCTCGAGTCAAAAGAAGTCTAGCTGTCATTGTAAATCAAGGGTGAAGCTGAAGACCATGTAAAATGGTGTGTGCTTGATTTGTTTTTGAGAGGCTTCTACATAAAGTAGCGTGTTTTTTGGCATATGTAACTCATGCATATGAGACCAGATTCTCTTTCATCAGTAACAGCCAAATCAGTGTCCTAGAAACCTGGAGGTTGCTGTGGCAGTACAAAGCAGAAAAGTTGCAGTCACACTTTGTCCTACTGCTCACAGCTTCAGAGACAAACAGTAGCACTGCCTTCAGACCTAGGACCTATTCCTGAAAATGATAAAAGGGGAAGCAATGGAGATGGCCATTTTTTCCTAAGAGAAAGATTTCATTTGTTATCCGAACATACACATTCTCCACACTGTGCAATCTCTGAACAGTGGCTCCATCGAAAGGCAGCCTGTGAAGCTCGTAGTGCTTGGGAATAAGGTAGCACTTTTAACTCTGCACGGGAATCTGTTTTAAAAGCTGATGTAGAGCTGTATTTCTGAAGTATAGCAGCCAACCATTGAAAAGGCATCTGCTTTCTTTTTCAGTTTTCTCATTATATTGATATGAATTTCTGCATTCCTTTCCGGTGCTCATGAAGTGCTCATAATTTCTTCTATTTGTGTGACAGTTCTTTCCTGTTTATGTCAAAATTATTTGATGCAGTAATAATTCATGATTAATGCAATTACAAATGTTGAGCCATGCTGGGAGATACAGAAGCATTAACGGCATGCTTTGGAGATGCACAGTTCGCAAGAAGCTTGACCAATTGGAAGTGAATAAGCTGTATTGTATTTGTAACGGGCCGGACTGCACAAATTTTCCAATCCACATTTGCAGCTCCTTGTTTTCTATATCTGCAGATGATTGTTATATTTTGTAATACTAAGTACCACCCTTCTGTGTCTCAGATTCAAGAACATCAGAAAATAAAGGAAATGCAAAGCTAGAGATGAAGGAGCTGGCTGAGGTGGTTGCCGAG